TCTCTGTTAAAATTGTTGGGCTCTGTTGAGTTACAGGTTCAGTGTGAGGCCTAACTCTGGATTCTAGCTGATTAACCCTATAACCTGCACCAGTTAGCTGTGTTACTGCGTCCTGTAATTGCTCCATTGAAGTTACTTTTTTATAGAATTTTAAGTATAAAAAAATATATAACTTATTTTTACAAAGGATTAGGTTTTTGCTTTCGTTTTTGAGAAAAGAAAAAAAAAATTTTTTGGTTATAACACTTTAAGATTGTAAAGTTTAAAATTGTAAAAAACTCAAATTTAATTTTTCATTTATTTTGAAAGGTAAATAATTTATATAAAAATATCTTACATTATTACTATTATGCTGAAGTTCATTCTGCTTCCGGCTGGTCCGTATTGCTCCGTTTTAGAGATGTCTTCTTCTCCTACTCAGGTACGTGTACTCAACACAGTAGTCTTCACTCAGGTGGTTTCAGATTTATATATTAGTGCCGTATTTTTATGCGAAAAGCACTTTTTTGAAATTTGGTGCTTTATTCTTTGCACTAAATTGTTTTTGGTTAAATGTTAAGTCATTTTCTTGCATTTTTTGAAATTTGGTGCTTTATTATTTGCACTAAATGTTTTTTAATTTAACTTTTTAGTGTTTTTTTTGTGCACTTTTTGTGAACTATTCCTTGCACTAAAATGCTTTTTTTTTATATTAAACTTTTTTTTAAAAAATTGTTAATGTTTTTCTTTGCACTTTTTAAACGGAATGATTTCTTTGGTGCTTCTTGCCCTTAACTTTTAACCGAGTTCCCGGGCGCCAATTAGAACACACCCTCGTCGTGATTGGAATGAACTTAAACTTCTTTATTGAAAGTTTTCTCTTTTATACAATTTCTTATGCTTACTTATTACATACTTATAAATTTACGTTTATACAAACAAACTGACATAATTTTGCTGATAATACACTAAAATAATTGTGAACATTATTTTTGTGTTTTGCTTATTATTTTTCTTACTGTTCTACTTAGGTACTAAAATTGCTGACAATGCAATAAGTTGAAATTGAAATTTGGCTTTTAGCTTATTATTGTTTTTATATTATTTTGCGTATGCACTAATTTGCAAGTGCAAGTAACTTCAATTCCTCAACAACGGTTTCACGTAACGTCTGCACGACTTCCGCTTGAAGTTAGTACGACGAAATGTGAAGCAGTTGTTGTTGTTGGATTTTTGGAACTGCTTACTGTGTGACTTAGTTTAGTTTCTGCTAACTGTGCTAACTTGTATGTGTATGTAAGTATGTATGTTTACAATCCAAAGTTATCGACACTTGAAAAGTAATCGATGGCCTTGAAACTTATGGTGATTTCGTTTCTACCAAAAAATGTTGCCCTTGCACGGTGCAAAATGCTATTTCTGATGAATCGTCTATAATAGTTGCAAAATGCTACAAACCTACGTACTTCATCAGCATTTTCTGGTGTTGGATATTCTTTTATAACCTTATACTTGCTTGGATCCGTGGTCACTCCATTGGCTGTTATTAAGTGACCTAGGTAGACTACTTCCGGTCGCAAAAAATTACATTTACTCGGGTTAAGCTTCAAATTGTATTTGCGCAATCTTTTGAAAACTTGCACTAAATTTATATTGTGCTCTTTAAGACTTGCACGGAAAATAAAGATATCATCTACATACAAGAATTCAGATGCTTGCAATCCACTCAATGCAATTGATAACATCCTTTGGAAGCTATTTGTTGAAATTTTTAAGCCAAATGGTAAACGCTTGAAATGGAAATGACCATTCTCTGTTGAGAAAGCTGTTAACGGTCTCGATTTCGAATGCAATGGAATCTGGTGAAAAGAACTTGTCATATCTAGTGTGGAAAAATATCTTGCTTTTCCAAGCTTGCCAAGTACATCTTCAAGTCTTGGCAAGGAAAATTTGTCATCCACAATCTTTTTGTTAAGTACTTTTTCAAATCCCCAGTGCTTTTCTTTGGCACAATCAATAGTGGTGAATTATATGGACTGACGGATGGCTCAATAATATCGTCGTCAAGCAAATCTTGAACCTGCTTATTAATCTCCTGAAAATTAGCGTGTGGCAATCTATAATTAATTATCAGCTGTTGTTATCTTCTGCTCATAAAAATTATTTTTTGTCAATTTTTCTCCATCTAAATGAAATATGTCTTGGAATTCTTTACAAATCCTTGAAACCTCCATTATTGCTTCATCGTCTAAATTGTCAAATTGTATCTCTTCTTTAACCCTTTTCAATCTGTCTTCATCCACTAAATTCCTACAATGTAGTATATCATAACACCGTATTGGTTCAACACACAAAGCTATACGTTCTAGTATCACTTCTTTATCTGAAGTATTTAACAATTTCACGTGTTTATACCCATCTGTTGGAATTATTGTGGTTGCTACAAAAACTCCTTTTCTAAGTTCTTTACCTAATACTACACAGTCTTCTTCTATAGCAATTTCTATGGGCGCTATTACTTCTGAACGGGCTGGTATTCTTACATTCATAACTGTTTTTAATTTCATGTTCATGGGCAATATAATATCTTCCTCTTCTACTGTTGTTGTTAGTGTATATGTTTCATAGTCTATCTTACAGTTGTACTTACTTAAAAAGTCTCTTCCTAATATCCCATCGACAACTAAATTTATATTCTCATTAATAACATGAAATTTATGTTCAACCACTTTATTTTCTAATAGTAACTTAATCTTCACTGTGCCCATGGAACTTGTTGTATTATTCGTTATTCCATTGAACTCACAAAATTTCTCACTGTTTATTTTATTTAAAAATCTTGAATTATGCTTCACTAATGATGCATCTTCTCCAGTGTCCACTAAAAACATTAATCCTGAATCATCGTGATTGGGGCCATCTAACTTAATAGTTACAAAGTTAGTAAATTTTTCATTAGTCGTTATACTTATGACCTTCTTTGTGCATACCCCGGATTTCCTGCTCCGGGGGCAACTCCGTTTCCCGAGTTGCCTTGCCGGTTTCCATTATTACTATAACCACCTCTGCTTGTGCTACAGTTATGTCTTCCACCATTATTGTTATGATCGCTTTGACCATGGGTAGTGTATCCTCTGCCGTTATTCCTTGCATTATTGCTGCTTAGGCGCCTTCCGTAACCTGTGCTACTATAATTTTCACTGTTGCGACCTCTGAACCGCCTATATCGATTGGAACTTCCTCTTGTTCTATTCATGAACATTACGTTATTATTACCTGCAGCATGTGAGCTTTGCACACTTGCTTCTGCCGCTAGTTGAATTGCTTCATTCAGTTTACTAGGTCTGGCGGCTAGGATTATGGATTTATAAGGATTATTTAGTCCACTTTTAAATGCACCTAAAGCAATTTGCTCATTAAGCTTCACTATTCTGTTCACCTTGTTCTGCAATCTGTATGTCATTCATTGAAGCCACTAAGTTCTCTATTTTACTAGCGAAAGCATTAACACTTAAATTTCCTTGCTGTGCTCGTGTTATTTCATGATGCAATTGTAGGGCGTTTTTATTGGATTTATAAATCTTTTAAAAAGTCTGTGCTAAATCTGTCAGTGTTGTGGGTCTATCTTCAGTTAATAACCTGTTCTTCACTTTGTCAGTTAGTATGGTTGCTAGGATAAAATTTACTAGAACTGCATCTTGACTTTCTGCTAAAGTTTTGCCATAGAAATCTACCAATCCTAGAAATTGCGACAAACTTCTGTAATTACCATCAAACTCTGGTATTACTTTTACAGCTGTTGCTATGTCAAAGTTAGCCATGTTTACATATTTTCCTTGCTCCTGTTCTACTTGTCCACTTTCTTCTCCTTCTTTATTTCACTTGCTAACGTCAAGAATTGTCTTCGCCTTTTCTAAGTCCTCTGGTTNTTTTTTTTAAATTTGTCAATAAGTCTGTCAATACCTTCAATTCCATTAGATATATTCATATGTTAACATATTCTTTATTTTGTAAATTTGCTTTTATAAAAAAAAACTTTTTTGAAATGTCTATGTTATTCTAGTAACTTCTAATTTTGTATATCATAAAATTTTGTCCTAAACTTCATTTCTAATTGCATTACGTAATAGCTGTTTTCTCACATATTCTTTATAATGTTTGTTAATATAATATTAATGCTTTGTTAGATATAATATTAATGCTATAATCCCTACAAGATTCACGTAAAGGAACCATGATGGTGTACCCTCTTTTGTGTTTGACAGTACAGCACTGCCTCCTGCAACATTATTGTTGTTTACTACCTCTTTCTTGCTTTGTCCAAAACCCATATTTGCTACGTTCTTCCTTTATTTGCTGAATCAACCGCTGCTTTTGCCTATTGTCTACTGCTATTGCGACGATTCGGTGAAGCTCAGCTACCCTCTGTCTCGGTCCTGTACATGATAGACGCATGTTGTATGGGGTTTGGTAGGACATGGTATCAATAGGGCAAAGAAAGGATGTCAGATGAAAGGATACGCAGAATTGTCATTTAGGCGTGACTCGCCAAATTATGTATATGGCACGAATGCCGCACTTTCAGTATTAATGGCAGGAGTGCCGCTCTGTTAAAATGATGAGATCTGTATCGTTTCGATACTCAAAAATGATTGTTCTTTATTTCAACTTTCATTTGTTTATATAGCTTAAAAATACAATACAAACTCTAAGTTCAATATACTTAATTGACCTACTTAATTTCTACTATTGCTCATAATGATTTATGGTAGTCATGTGCAATGTGATTCCTCACTATTAACACTCAAAAAACGTTTGGTGACACATTGTACATATTTTGTTTCGTCAGCAGTTATTTGTATATGCAAAATTGCTTGAGCACACTTTCTGTTCATAATAGCCGATCACACTCAACATTACCCAATTCTCATATTATTATAACAAAAAATATAATTAATAAAAATGAACTGCTATGCATATAGCTAACACATATTGTATCAGGTACATGCACAACAATACAGCATTGTTAGTTGTGGTGACAATCTCGTGTTGCACCTCATGCGTATGGCTTAAAGATTCGCCTTCTTTAAAGAAAAGATCACTGTTATTATCTATAAGTTTTTCTAGCTCTCTCTGTTCTTCTTTGTTCATGTCAGTCTTTATAAGTTTGTTTAGTACTTCTGGGTCATTTCCTTGGCTTTCCAACAAGTGGATGTTTTCGTACTTGTAAGGACAAGCGCCTAGAAAGCTTATTTTATTTTTATTTACTTCGAGGTAATTTTCTTCTAAATTAATTATTGCTCCCAATCTTCTTAAAATGTTTTGACCTATCAGTCCCTGAAAGTTTTTATTTTTAAATGTGGTGACCTTCCAAGCCATTAAATTTGGATTATTAAATTCTTCAGGTATTTCGGAAATAACCTCATATTCTGTATGACTTTGTCCGTTTAATGTGTTAAATATTATTGGCCTGTCTAATTTGATCCTTTTGTAGTTTGGGAGTGCGTTTTTGTCTAATAGTGTTGTTGAGGATCCTGTGTCAATTAAGTATATTAGTTTGTGTTTGCCTATTTTTAATTCAACTAACGGAATATTTCCTTGTTCATATCCGATAGTAAATTTATCTCCTGTTCTTCTAATTCTTTTTCTTCTTGTAAGTGGTCTACTTCCATCGGTTCGTACCGGCGAGATTGTGTAGATTTTTGATTGGAATAATTTGTCAAATTTTCTGGTTGGTTTCGCTAATCCTGTTTCTTCTAAAGTATAATATGCTTCCCTAAGTGTCCCTATGCTCCTGCTATATATTATACTTGCTAGATGGGCGGGGATATTATTGAGGAATGTTTTTATGATCATAGATTCATTGACAGCCGGACAGAATTCTGTTTGCTTATTGTCATCTTGTTCAAATTTAGTGTTTAGATTATCTAATATATTTTTAAGGTAATTATAATAGTGACTTTCATTATTATTATTTTTGCCGTTGATGGCCCGATAGTATAGTTGGTGGTATGTGTCTCTTATACCAAAGTTCTTGATGAGCTCCTTTATGAGATCCCATGTTGAGTGAGCACCTAGTCCCCTGACTACGTTGAGTGCCTCACCTTGCAGTTTGTTTATTACACAGCGCTGGAACACATATTCTTTCATCGGAGTATTTTCGAATAGGGGCAGGAAGATTTCGACTTCCCTGATGAATGAGGTTAGGTCATAGTCTCTGTTGAGTTTCAAAATCCTAGGATAATACGAATATATCATCAATGTAGTCGTGACATGTCTTCCTATTTCTTCCCTCAGCACATCCTCGATGGTGCGCTGGAAAACACTCGGGCATTTTTAAGGCCAAACGGCAGTCTACAAAACTTATATTTTCCGCTATTTACGGCAAATTTTTTATTCTCCATGTCCTTTTCAGCTAATGATATCTGGTGGAAACTAGATTTAAGGTTGTCGAGGACATGGACACTAACTTAATCGAGTTCGATTAGATTGAATTTTCATTTCTTTCTAAGATGCGTGCGGCCGGCAACATCATTTTGCTATTGTGAATTTACATTTGAGAAATGCTTTGTAATAGTTGCTATTGTAAGCGAGCCATGGGGTGACCTGTGTCCGCAATTAAAAATTCTTTTTACTTCTTCTGTAACGACCGCCGCAGCCGCATCGCACCTGCTTTTTCAACTTTCTGTTTCATAAGCCACTCGGGCTCAAATTGTCGTTGTATTGTATCAATACGTTGAATTACTTCAATAAAAGAATTATTTGAACTATTTGAACTATACGAAATCCCAATCGGTTTTATTTATTGTGGATTTAGTTTCTCCGGTACACGCTGTGCCGCTCTAATCAATCCCCTGAGATTGAACAAAGGTCTATCGTTCGCGATTGGTGCCATAAATTTATTTCACCGAAAAGGGAGATGATGTTACCGCTTTTACTCCCTGCTAATCACATTCTCTTATATATGTAGTTTTTAGAGGCACCGGTGTCGATTAAGAATTTTACTGGTTACCCTTTGATATTCCTGCTAACGTATGGTAGCAGGAGCGTTACCGTAAAAAATTTATTTCATAACTTGGTACCTCCGGTACCACGTCATCATGGTTGTAAACTCCATCGGCTGACACGTTCTCATCGTAGGCATCAGAATCTGTTTAGCCTTAAAATGGCGAACAGTGTAGCACAGAAGTGTAGCACGAGGGTAGCACAGAATCCGCACGTCCGGTAATATTGTTGCATGACGGCTTGAGCCGCCTGGCGCCACAATACGTATCGAGTCTGGTCACCAGAAAATTATGGCAATGACTTGACTACATCTAATGACACGTTGTATTCAATATTTTCAATAATTTCTTGGTATTCTTCCACTTTCGTCGATGCCTCTATCCTTGAAAGTCTACCTGTCCGTTAGTCGATCCCAGTCTGAAAATCTTTTTTAGTCTATTCAGTGGCCACTCTTACGACGGCACTAACTACCCTGCAGGGAAAGCTACTAGTTGTGAACTAGAATTCTACCGGTTTGCGTTTCAGCCGAACTAGTTCACGTTCTATCCTTTTTCAATGTTAGCGACTGGTATTTTTAACATTGCGATGTCCTACGAGATGTCAATTGTCAGGCAATGCATCAGCATCTACTAGTATAAATACTAGTAGCATCATACCAGTTGATGAGATAGTCTGCCAATTCATGCCCCGTGAAAAGCATAATTGTGCCTTTTTGCTCGCGGCGCTCCAGCAGTCACAATGGCCGACAGAGAAGAGCACTCTCGTGGTAAGCCTGAGGTCCCAGGTTCAAATCCTGGCGCAGGTAAAATTTTTTTATTTTTTATTTTATTTTTATTTTTTATAAATTTATTTTTTTGTTTATGCTGTTTATTGTAATTTTTTAATTTAATAAAAAAATATTTTTGTTTAATTTCTTTGTTTTTATATTTCTTCCTAAATGTTTTTTTGCAACGCAATTAGATTTTCAAATTTGTTATTTATTTATAAATTGAATAAATTATTTTTACTTACATTTATTTAACTTTAAAAATCTTAACCACCTCCAAGCGGCCTCGAACCTGCGATTTCAGAACCAGAACCAGTAGTCTTCACGTGACGCCACAGCCGACATTTGTAAGAAAAGCAATTAATTGCGTTTTATTTTTGGCTTTGGCAATTCAAAGGCAGATGTCGCTGATCGCCTAAGTTCTTCGAAATTGTCGAACTGGTAGGCACATACTAGTTAATGAACTAGTATTTTTTCTAACTGGTTTGGCTTTTCACTGCAGCGTACTGCACGAAGTGGCATTTTATCCATATCTAAGTTCACAATTTATTACTTATGGTTCTCAATTTAAGTCACAAATACATCGAGCTTAAGTGTTTAGCTAGTTAAATTCTTTATTTCTTAATTTAATTCGCAATTACAATCGCTTTCCTATATTTTATACAATTATAATTTAATTCACTTGCTAATTTCGAGGTCGGGCACTCTACTCACAAGCATTTTCTTATTCAATCCACGGTTTTGCCAGTTAATTGTCAGCAGTAAGCTGCCGCTGTTCCCTGTGCTTAGTCTTTGGCCCAGAATATTTGGCAGCTCTAGATGTCCGATCCGCTCCTCTTCAATAAAGTTTAGACTTTTTAGGTGGGTCCTAACCCACAACCAGGTCACCATTTGTCTTTTAACGAGGATATTTTAAAAGCGCGCGAATTATCTGGGTCGAGCTTATGCCGAATGAAACATAACATCTTTTAATTCTGCATTGTCTTCTTTAATGGTTCTTCAGAACTGATCTAAAGGTAATATTTATAATATTATTTTACTATTTACATTTCTATTTTTGGTTATTGACCTACTTATTCTAATATTGCTTAGCCAATGAATCTCGCAGTTGTTGACCTAATTATTTTTGCTAGTAAGCAAAAGCGCAATAATTGTAGCTTGCTGCTACCATGTCCAACTGATGGTTGGTGTGTAAGTTGACGGCGGAGTTGACGTAACTTCTCCCCCTTAATTTGGAAATTCTCCCGAATTTATGTTTTGAGTTTTTTAAATTTGGTATATGCAAGAGTGCTGACGAAGGACATGAATACGATAATTATTAAAATTGTTATGAGTATTACAATGGAGAAGTGTGAATGGAGATGAAGCTGCTTCCTTTAAAACAAAGTTTAAATCATTTGCTTTTAATGCATAAGCTGATATTGAAGCAGCATGAACCAATAATTTGGAATCGTGACCCTGTACGGACGATACTTCGGAAGCAAGTTTCGTTTTTGCCTCGCACTTCCCTCGCTGTATCCACCATTAAGACGACCTCTTTTGTTTGCGACATCACTTTCAGAAATTTTAAATTCAGTCACATTTGATAACCATAAACTTTCCTTGTTCTCAAATCTCTTCGCACATCTTTGGTTCTTGTTCCACTTTTGGGTAGCATTTGCACAAAAATTGTTAATTTTCTTTTTGATTGATGCCATACATTCGTCATCCACACTTCTATTAAATTTCGTGAAAACCCAGTTGACAACAGTTGTAGCATTTCGATTATTATCTAACCAAAATTTAACTATATCCTTATTTTTGATTTTTACGCAATCTTAAAAAGAAAATATAAATAATTTAGAGCAGTTGGGCTGCAGTTGAAATTACAACCACATGAAAGTACACATCATTACCTTTCTCCACATATAAGTAAACCTTTTATTCGTTTTATTATTTGTTTTTATTATTAATTATTATTATTTATTATTTACTTATTTGTTACAACGCTGCCGTTGGGTCAGCTATGGGTCTAAATTAGAACTGCCCCCCTACTTAACTTTTAGCTAACACCTAACCTACAGCGCAGCGCGATGCTGCTGCCGCGCAGCCGGCGAATAGTGGCTGTGACAGAATTGTAACTCCGGCGTTGCTCATATGTTGTAATTTCTTGTTTGTGCTGACGCTGTTAAATAAGATGACCATTGATTGCAGTGTTCTGAGAATAGTGGCGCTAGTGATGTTGACATCACGCCGATGATAGTGCAGTGACTTTAAGCAATAGCAATAGCTATTGATTTCCTGATACAGCGACCCGTGCCAGCAACCGTGTGAACATTGATCTGGTCATATTTCTGCTGATTAGGCTGTTGGGCAATATGACGAACGGTTGCAATGTGGCTGAAGTGTGAATAACCCAAGCGAAGGTTGGGAAAAGCAACTATGGGAATTAATTTATGATAACTCCTCCCCTTCTAAGTGGGGGACGTCCGCGGCCCTTGTAGTGGCATTTTCAATTGCTGCCTTAACGGATTTGGCTATTGAGATTTTCTTCTTGTTTAAGACTGCGCGCTGAAATGCATATGCGAGCAGTCCCATAATTACAAACGCTCCAATGGCAACGTGACTCATTATGTTACTCCGCTCGATACTTTTTTGCTGATGTTTAATGTGGCGGAGGTTCTGCTGGTTTACGTGGTGGAGGTAAGGGGCAGTTAAAATTTCTATATGCTGCGTCAGGTTGATATTTGGAGACAATGGCAATTCAGGTTTCAAAGGCGCTGTAGAATTTTCATTATAAAATAAAGTTCCGTTAACCTTTACCTGTCTCTCGAAGGTCACCAGGTAGGTCCCGTTGACTGTAACTGGAACGTCATCGATTTCTTCTATTACCGCAATTTGATCATTAACAACAATCAGGCCGTCTCCTATCGTTGTAATAGGTGAGAGATTATTAAACGTCGTACCGCAATTGGCGGTGTTGTGTGTCATTAGTTGCAACGCGCATGATTTGGCTGATGATGCTAAGCAAAATGCCGGGGTTGTGTTGCTACAATTCTTTACAGCCACCGTGTGGTTGTCGCATGTAGCTAAGGTAGGTTCCTGCAGGTGTAGAATTTGATTGCCGTGCGCTACTGGTAAAATTATTGTTTTCTTACATCTAAATCTAGGTATAGGATATTTTATTAAAAAGTATATTGCATTATTATACTGAACAATCTTAACTCTAGTTAAAGGTACTATATCGGCTACGTTGAGGCTTGTGAAGTGCTGTGTTTTTATAACTGAATTTATTTCTGAGCTATCTAAAAGGATGGGATTAAGAGTCCCGATTTTCGCGAAAGTGATGGAGGTGATTATGTTATCTAATTCTGTTATTATTGCCCTGTTTCTGGCTGTAATTATGTCGTATAGGTAACCCGTATCTATTTCTTTCTGCTTTGCTGACTTTAATATTTTATTTACCGTAGTAGTAAGGCTGTTAATTTCTTTCTGCAACTCTGTGTTGATGGTAAACTGTCTGTCCTGT